CCACCCGGATGGGCACGAAAGGGCAGCGCGATGAAGGCAGCGCGCCGTCTTGGCTGGATGCGCGACCTGCCCCCTGCCCGACGCGCGGAACGAAGAGGCGCCGCGGGCGGGGCCGGCTTACTTTACTCACCAGGCCCTGGGTTGTTGCGCGGCGCCTCGAATTCCAGCACGATTGGATCCCGCTCCCGTCTCGGCGGGTCAGGGCTTCTGGATGACCGACCTCGGGACCGAGGAGGGGCTGCTGCTGGCGTCCATCTACCTCCGCGCGAGCAAGGAGCTGGACGACGTCAACCTGAAAATCATGTTCGGGGGTCCGCGCGGCGCTGCGCGCGGCGGATCGCCCTTTAATCGTGGGCGGCGACTGGTAGATGCTACCGTCGACGCTCGGACAGTCGCGCTGGCCACAGGCAGCGCGGGGATTGGTGCAGGCGCCACCAGAGTCGGAGGCCACGTGCATCACCAACACGAATGCCAAGGCGATCGCCTTCATCGCCACGAGCCGCCGCATCGCTGGCGGGAAGGCGAGAGCCATCGATGACCTCACCGTTGCCACGCACAGGGGTGTGATATACGAGCTGGACGCTGCCTCCCTGCCACGCAAGGTGGCGACGATGCACGTGGCTAAGCCGCTCCCTGCCGGCACAGTGATTGAACCCCAACGGCCGCCACCTGACTATGGCAAGCTGGTGGAGGGGGCCCAGGACACACGGGATCGCTGAGCGGCGAGCGCACGGCTGTGCGACGACGACGACAGGAGGACACTGGACGGGAAGTTCCATGTTTGACTTCGTTTGTACGAGGACGAACTGGCGGGCTACTGCGGGCTACACGATGGCGAAAATAAGCACCGTGGCCGCGGGCGTGGGGCGTGGCACGCCACCACCACGCTGGCCACGCACAAGCGGCAACAGGGCAAGTTCCGTGGCGCGCCCAGCCCAGCCGACAACCACCGGCAATGGCTGGCCGATCGGGTCCGCGAGTGGCGTCGCCGCCGAGCGCGGCCCGCTGACGTCGCCGCCCTCAGACGCACGCGCGCGCTACAAGTCAGGCTCACGAAGTCCCGGCCAACGACCAGCATCACCTCGATGCCCGAGTCGCGGGCTCCATGGCAAGCAACGGTCCGCCGCCTCCACGCTGCCACTGACGACGAGCTAGATGGGCCGGAGGGGGAATTACGCAAGTGCGCTCGATGGGCGCCTGACAAGGCAGCATACCGACGGCGCCGAATCTGGATGAAATGGCCGAGAGACTCGACGAGGCAAGACGGCATGAGCCAGGCATTCAAGTGGCTGAAACAGGACGCCCCATGGTCGACCACATTGCTCGCGGCGACGCCTGGCATGGTGCAGGCCATCAGAGACGAGGCCAAGCTGACCATCGAGCATCGGCACCAGCTTCGGTCCAAGGGCCCATGGCGGGGCGCCATCGAGCGGGGGATAGACGACTTCGAAAGAGCTACACTTGAGCTGCCCACGGTCGACGAGGCGCGGAGGGCGTCGCGCGCCTTCCCGGGATCAGAAGGACCTCGGTTGCGACGCGGCGCGCCCGAGGCACTTCGCGTCGGCGATCAAAGCGGTCATGGCGCTCATCTGCGTCTGGGAGAACATGCGGGCGACGAGGCGCGCGCCTCTGGCGACCGCCATCGCGCGCCAAGCCCTGATGCCATAGTCGAACGGAGGTCGCCGCACGACGGGGAGATTCTCTGGAGCACGCGGCCCCGGGCCAGGTGGGCTTAGAGATGGCGACGGCGCCAGATGGGCGGACGGACATTGACGAGACTACGCGCGCGGAGTTGATGGACAGGGCAAAGCAAGAGCTGCGAGGCTCGCGCATGGAAGCAGGCCGCGCAAGCGGAGCACGCCTCCGCGCGCGGCTTAACGGCGGCCTCGATACTGTTCGGCCTTACTAGGGCTTACGTGTACATGCGCTGGCACCTGCCTTTGGGGGCTGATGTTTGGCTTCTACATCGCGCCGAGGACCCTGTCGCTCGAGGGCCTGATCGTGGGGGAGTTCAGCCCGCTGAATGGAGTCGTGGCGGGGTGCTCGTTCGCCGACCTGATGATGGAGATTGTTTCTGCTGTCGACCCTGGGCCGAGCGGCGGACATCCCGAACCTCGACCTCGGCAGCGCCTTGGACGACGCCCAGACGCAGTCCACGGGCGCGTGGTCGGCACGCTCGCCGAGACCAACGCGGCGGCGCGAGCGGTGCTGCTGGCGGACCATCTGGCACCGGGCGACGCCAAGGGCCGGGCGGCATCCAACAGCCACTCGGCAGCGGCGGCGCTGAGCAGGCGCTGCCCGTCGCAGCAGGGGCGGGCCGCCCGCTCGACCAGCAATCTCGGATGCAAATTTCGCGCAGCAAGCGGCGCGGAACGGCCGCGCGCCGCAAGGGGCTCGGACGCGCGCGGAAACGCTGCGCGAAGGCCCGCGCCCCCGCCGCGCCCGTGGATGGTGCAAGCAGTTAGTTTCTATGAGGACGCTGCCTGTTGGGGCGCGGGGGGGCGCGGTGACGGGGCGTGCCCGGGGACAGGCGATGCATCTACGTCGGGCGGCCAGAGCGGCCCTTTTCGCGAGCGCCCCCCGCCGTTCCCCCACGCCCGACCTTGCGCTTCTGAAGAAGAACCCCGCCGCAGTGGACCCAGCCTTTAAGTGCGCCATCTGGCCTACCTTCATGTTGGCCCAGGCCGGTCGGCCCCGCAGGTTCCCGGTGGACTGGGCCGATTCCCCCCTCACCGAAGCCGACAAATGCTTCGCCGGAGCCAAGGGGCCCATCGACAGGACCTGGTCGTTGGCCAAGGGCCCCGTCGCCGCTGCCCATGCATCCTGCCTTCGGTTCGGGCGGTCACTCGGGCCCGGCATCTCTGGTCTGCAGACGGCCCAGGGCGACGCGCTGGATTCAAGCGTCGCTTGCCCCCGCGCGATCCAGAATGCGGCCACTCGGCAGCGTCTGGCTCCTGCGCGCTGCTCGCGACGAGCGCCGCCGCCTCCCCTCGCCATCCCGCCCCTGGCTCCTCGCTCCCATTCGGCACCTCTGCTCGCTAAAGCCATTGGCCGCCGATGATTGGACGGCGCCCAGCCAGGCCGCGGCACGTTGTTTTACGGCCAACGGTCCCGGGGACAACGCGCGCAAGTTTCGCGCTGTCCTCGTCGGAAGCCCACAGCGTGAGTTGGGCGGCCTCGAGCCTGGGACGGCGGCGCACTGGCGTCGGGGGGGCTGTCCGAGAGCGCGGGGCTTCCGACGAGGACTACCAGCTGCCTGCCTCTGTGAAGGCGGGCGCCCGCGATAAGAGTGATTGGACTCCACGGGGCCATGGCCCCTGCCAGGCTCTGTCGATTGGCGCCCAGCCCCCGCGCTGGATCTCCAGGCGAACTGGGCGGCCAGGCCATCCGGAGGCCACCTGGAAGGAGAGGCTTTGGGCGACGGGTCCCGTGGTTCCATCCTGGCTTGCGAGCTCCGCCTGAAGCGCGCAGGCTGGTCCGTGGTCTAAATTTCGGGAAGCGGCCTCGATGTCACGTTTTGCGGGCCCCTCCCTGGGCCCTCCAAGGATCCCGAGGTGGCCGAACTGCTCGGCCCGCACATGTATGTCGCACACGTGTCCCTGGGACTCTTTTTCCTACCTCTGCGACTGCGATTGGGGTGTCACCAGTTTCAGCAAAGGCCGTGAGGCAACTGTAGGCAGCATGTGTGCGTGCGATGACCTATGGAAGCGGGTGCGGGAGCGGGTGGGCGACCCGGGGTGCGTGGAAGTGATCTAGGTGAAATGCCACGCGCTAGTGCGCGATGACGGCCGCTCTGAGGCAGATAGGTATCACAGGCTCGGCAACTCTCAGGCTGACAAGTATGCTGAGATCGGTGCTGCTAAGCACCCGCAAGACCAGGCTGCCAACGAACGGGTACTTCTCAAAGCTAGCCTCTTCACCTACGTGTGCAAATGTCTCTCTCGGACGCTGCGGGCCGCAGGCCCTCCCGCCAGTACTGTCTCGTCTCGGGAGGTTCAAACCCACGGCCGCAGACGGCCGCCCCCGAGGCTCACGGCTGACGAGGAGGCCCCCGCCAGCGAGCATGCTCCCTTTCAATACGCAGGCAAGCTGCGGTGTGTAAGATGTCTGCGTTCGGCCAAGTCGGCCAAGATTTTTCGGCACGCCCCGTGCCGTCCCGCTGTAGGCCACCGCCTCTGGAGCGTCAGGCCCTTCACGTTCTGTGGCTCCTGTGGAGCCCACTCGTGTGATGACACCCAGCTCCTCGCGGCCGACTGCAGAGGACACTGCCCCCGCGCGGGACGACGGCGCAAGTGCGCCACGACCGCCTGTGGGGAGGAAACCACCCACGTGCCGGGGCGAGGCTACCACCCGGTTCGGGGCCCATCGCCCCGACGCCGTTTGGTGCCTTCGCCTTGGACGTCAAGCTGGGCCTTCCCGGCTGATGAGGTGGTTGTAGGCCGAGTCGCCCGTTTTGGACGTAGAGGCGCCCGCCCGCTTGCAGCACGCTGCTCGGTGGTGGTGCCCGTGGGCTTTCATTTCGCTTGCGCGAGTCCCGCCGCCGCTGTCGTGCACCGCCGGGCTGCACAGTGGTAGCTCTATCTCCTGCTCCTCCTGCTGCTCCTCCACCTCCACCTCCACCTCCTCCTCCTCCTCCTCCTCCTCCTCCTCCTCCTCCTCCTCCTCCTCCTCCTCCTCCTCCCGTCCTCCCCGTCCTCCTCCTCCTCCTCCTCCCTCCTCCTCTCCTCCTCCTCCTCCTCCTCCTCCTCCTCCTCCCTCCTCCGCCTCCGCCTCCGCCTCCGCCTCGCCTCCGCCTCCGCCTCCGCCTCGCCTCCGCCTCCTCCGCTCTCTCCTCCTCCTCCTCCTCCTCCTCCTCCTCCTCCTCCTCCTCCTCCTTCTCCTCCTCCTCCTCCTCCTCCCCCCTCCTCCTCGTCCTCCTCCCCTGCTCCTGGAGGAGGAGCGGAGCCGAGGGGAGTGAGGGGGGGCGACCGTGTGCGCCAGAGCTGGAGCCCATCCCCCTCTCACGGGCCGATGACGCGGACGGGGTAGCACAGCGTCGACATCAGGCCCTTCCTCTGCGCCTGGAAAAGGAGGGCGGGCGTTCGGATCTCGGACCCCGATGGCTGGGCCCCGTCGAAGAAAGCAACAGGCGGACAACGGAAGCGCCACGATGACCGTATCATGAAACGGCCGCCGAGATGATGAGCGGACCCGGGGCGCCGCCTGTAAAATGTGGCGGGAGCGGATGGGGGGGAAGGGGAAGGAGGACAGTTATCCGCCGCCGTGCCCCCTGGCACGCTGAGGTGCTGCAGAGCGGGAAGTGCTGTCTGGTAATCAGTGCGTCTGAGCTGTTCCCAGGGCTTCCCCCTTGCCGCCCCCCTCCTCAAGGCTTCCTTGGCGTTCTGACGTCTCAGTCGCGCTCTCAAGGTCTCTCTCCGTGGCTTCCAAGACGGCAAGGGCAGGCTATCAAGGCCGCCAGGGTGGCCCAACATGCATCGAAAGCGACCAGAGATGACCCCAGTGCGGCCCAGGATGGCCTCACGACGACCCGAGAGGCCGCCAAGACGGCCCAAGAGGGCTCCAAGGAAACCTCCAGGAGGGTTCGAAGATGTCAGAAGCATGCAACGTCATTTGGAAACATGTATGAACTGGCGGAGGTTCGCGGTCTCGCCTCTTCGGGCGTCCGCCAGGCCAAGACGGCCGAAGGGGCCTCCAGCATGGCCCCAAGGCGACCCCAAAGAGGGCCCCGAGACGTCCCGAGAGGCCCCCAAGAAGTCCCAAGGAGGCCCCGGGACCGTCCTGCGCCGGCCCCGGGAGGCCAAGCTCGGCCCACGAGACCCCCAAAGGACCCTTGAGGGCCGCAAGACGGCCCAGAGAGGCCCCCCAAGGTGGACTCCGAGGGCTCCCTGGGCCGTCTCGGGACGCAAGAGACGGCCCCAGGAGCCCTCGAGGCGCCCCGCGAGGTCCCCCAAGACGCCCCCAGGCGGCCTCCAGTACGCCTGAAGAGGCTCCCGAGGTCCCAAACGAGAGAGAGAGAGAGAAGGAAGAGAAGAAGGGGAGGGAGACAACGACGACGACGAACACACGAAGATAGGCACCCCGGCAGGACAAGAAAGAGCGTGCCAATGTTGAGGCTCTCCCAAACCTCGGGGCACGAGGTGTCACACGCACGTTACAGCTCCCTTGACGCTCTTCGAACAATCGCCACCCAGAATGCTAGACTGGCGCGGTGGCGGGACTTGTCGCAGGCAGCTGAATAATTGCAAGGGCGTTTGAAAGGGCCACAGGGTTCTGAAGAATTCTTGAAGTTAGAACTGGCATCATCATCCACCTCATTCTCCTCCTGTTCCTTGGCTGTCCTCCTCTCAGGGAGAAAGGGGGGGGGCAGGGAGGAATGGGAGGGTGATGATGGAGGAGGACGTCCAAACAACGACAGAAATGCGATGCTACGTCGACGAAGGTAGCGAAGATTTGAACCCCCGCCCCGTCCGACCGTCCGAGACTTGAGGTTCCCGAAGACGATGGCTGCTTCGGCACAAGATGTCGACGGGTGGTCCGCTCACGAGCTGCCCGTGCTCTGAGATGCTGCGCTGGAGGAGCGTGTCCTGCTTTGAAGAAAACCGACGAGAAGGGGGCGGCCCCGCTGGGTGTACAGGTGTACCAGATGTGGTGGGTATGTAAGCCGAAACAGGGGGCGCGAGGCACCGTGGGCCGGGAAGCATCGCCATCATGGCGTCGGTGGCCAGGGCCTGGGATAGGGGGACCGCGGAGCACGGGTGGCCCGCGCCGTCTTCGACAGCGCGCATTTCGCGGGTTTGGAACACCGCACCGCACCCAGGGGCCGTGCTGGACAGCCTGCGCCCAAGATCGAGGGCGCACTCCCTGCGCAGGAGCTCTCCGAGGGGCAGTATCAGGGAGAGGAGCCCGGACGAGAGCGCCGCTCTCTTGGCAAAGGCGCACGACCGCACCTGGATCATGCCGTGGCTCTCGGCGAGCACTGTGTTCCACCACCGGCAGCATTGGACTGCTCCAGACGGAGCAGCCTCGCCGGATCCAGCTCGCACGGCAGGTCCATGGGACCCGCTGCCAGTGCGGAAGAAAGTGCACAGGGCTCTCACAATGAGCGGCATGACCACTGCGCTGGCCCCTCCGAAGTTGAGGGTGAGGAGGAGGCATCAAGGAGCAGTGCGAGCCGTCTGCGTGGGCGACAGCACGCGTGCCACACACCGCGCCGAAGACTTGCACGGGGTTCGGGCTGTCTGTGGCCCGCTGGAGCGCGCCGCGGAGCAACTGTGCCAAGACGAAGCTCAGATCATGGAGGCGCGATCCGAGGACGGACCGCCCAGCAGGCGATGGCGCGCTTCGAGCCTTGGACTCTGAGCTCCTCGTCGCACGGGGAGCGCGAAGACAGGTCTCCCATCGTACCGAAGGACCACATCCCAGAACTAATTTCGAGCAAGCGGAAAAGTGTCGAAAGCGTGTCGAAACGGTGTCGAGACGAGTGTCTCCTGGGGCCCAGTGCGTGAAAAACCCTCGAGCTTCGGTATACTTTTGCTGGTGCTCGAAGTTCTTTCTGGTGGTCATGGCTTAAGGTAGGTTGGAACATCACAGGACAAGGCACGGCAGGGCACGGGGGAGCAAGAGCGAACGCATGAAAAGCGACCCCCGCCCCCCGCATGAGGAACCTTGACGACTGGGACCGCCAAGCGGCACGCGAACTGTGAGCGAAAACGGCTCGACGGTCAGCCGACGACCACGCCGCGCCATCCGATGCGGACGGCGCGCCGCTGCTGCGCTCCTTGGCGCTTGAGCCTGGCGTCACCTGCCCGTGCTCCTCTCGAGCCTCCTCGACTACCTACCAGACCACCCCAACCCAACCCGAAGACCCGAACTTCGGGTTGGGGGGGGGGGGGCTCCATGCGTGTTTTCTCGATGCTCCTGGACCCCCTCCCCCCACACTGGAAGTGGACGGCAAATTGAGGCCTTCGGGTTGGGTCGGGGTGGCTTGGTGGGTCGGGTGGAGCCTCCTCTCGGGAGGAGCTCGAGTAGAGGAAAGAGAACTATGCACATACACCGATTCTGGCCAGGCCCGTCCTGAGCCCAGGATCGGTGCATACGCCCTCCTGCCTTGGCCAGGAAGGCATATGCACCGATCCTGGGTCAAGGATGGGCCTTGCCAGGATCGGTGCATGTGCATAGTTCTCTTCGCCCGATCGAGGGAGCACGGGCGGAGCGCGAGGGCGGCGAGCCCGACGCCTGCCGTGGGCCCGGCCGGGCAGGGCCCCGGCCAGCCCCGGCCGCTCGGGCGCCGCGGGGGGGCAGGCGGCGAGGGGAGCGCCGCGGGCGCGCGCGGGCGGCGCCGCCCGGGCGGGGCGCACGCGGGGCCACGGGGGGCGCCCCGGGATCGCCCGAGAGGCCTCCAGGAGGAGGAGGAGGAGGAGGAGGAGGAGGAGGAGGAGGAGGAGGAGGAGGAGGAGGGCCCAAGAAGCCCCCAAGGCCGCCCCAGGAGGGCCCGAAGGCGGCCCCAAGAGGCCTCCCAGGACGCCCAGGGTGGGCTCCCAGGCGGCCCTGAAGAGCACCTCGAGAGGGCCCCCCAGTCGGCCCCGAGAGCGGCAGGAGCCGCAGGAGGCGCGGGCTGCCGCGCGGAGGGCCCGCCGGAGGGCGGAGGGCGGCGCGGGCGCGGGAGCCGTGGCGCGAGGCGGCCGCGTCTGCGGGCGGGGCGCGGCGCGGGCAGCACAGAGGCCCGCGGGGAGGGCGTGCACCCGCCGGCGCCGCGAGGCGCTGCTGGCACCTCCCAGGCAGCTCCTTCACCGCCTGGGGGGCCCTCGACCGGAGAGGGCAGCTGCGTCCCAGAAGTGGGGCCCGGGGAGGGGCCATCGCGAGACGTGACGATGGGAACCGTGAGAGGCAGGCAGGGGAGCTCCCAATCATGCGGCCTGCAGAGCCCGCATGAGCCTTTCTCAGTGGAGTGCCTGCATGGGTGGGGTGGAACGAGGAAGAATAAGAAACGGATCGGTGGTCCGCGCGAGATTTCGTGGATCGGCGCTAGACCTTCCTCCCCAGCGAGCACGGGCTGTACAAAGCCGACGCGGCCGCAAGAAGCCCTCGCAAGAAACCGAACCCTGACAATCCGCGCGCGAGGTGCGACTGGGGGGACGCCAATGGCGCTCTGACCGCAGCAGCTCCAAGATGGGTCCCAGCTGGGAAACCCGAACAGACCTTTCGAACCCTCGGCCCCCAGGGGCCCCCGGGAGAACCCAAGAGGCCCCCAAGAGGCCCCAAGAGGCCCCAAGGAGGCCCCAAGAGGCCCCCAGAAGGATCCCAAGAGAAGTCACCGAGCGGCGCGCGCAGCACAGAAGCCCAGGGGACCCCGATGGAGAGCAGCTGGCTTCCTGCTCGGCGCCCCAACCATGCCATCGCTCGGACGCCCATTCCAAATGCATTTTCCAGCGTCGTGCGGCTTTTCGACCCGCAGGATGTTCCAAAATGAGACGAGCGCGTTCCACCAATCGCAGAGTGACTGCTCGCGAATGGCCTGGATCCGCCGCGGGGGATCTACGATAAGTTACATCGAAGCAGGCACGTGTTTTTCGGGCGTTTGCGAGTAAGCACTTTGCGAGTAGCGGAACGCGCTCGGCGATCCAAAATGCTCCTCGATGGCCCTCGCCCGCACGCCCGGCATGGCATGGCCCCACCCTCGGCCGCGCGCGCTCGGGCCTGCACGCGCTCTGGGCGGCCCCCGAAAGGATGGGCAGGCAGGGGCCCCGCCCCCCCCCACGGGCGGCGAGGAAGGCGCGGGCGGGTGGTAATCCGGAGGTGACCCTTGGGGGGGGGGGGGGGGGCGGGGGGGCAGAACAGGGCCCTCGAGGAGCCCTGTGGGACCCTTTTGGAGCCAGCAGGGGGCTCCAACGGGGCCCTCAAGGGCCCGTTTAAGCCCCTGTCTTCACTCCCCCATTTGGCCCCCCTCAGGAGGCAACTACTGAGAGGCTTTCGTCGGAAGGAATACAAAGGATTAAGCCCCACTGGGGGGCTGTTATGACGGAATGGGCCTCGGATGAAGCCGGATTAAGCGAGATTCAGCGGGATCAAGCGGGATCAAGCGGGATGAAGCCGGAATTCGGACCAGGGCAAAATCAGAATTGGACCTCCCAGGAATTGCATCCGACCCCCTCCCGTTATCACCCGCCCGAAGTAGGGAAACGAGCTCTATACACCGACGCTGTTTCCGACCCTGCGCTGAAATTCGCACAGGAACGCGGATCCTGGTATATACGGGATCCTGGTGTGTACATTTTTCGCTGTTTTCCCTTGGAAAACCGGGGAGAAGTATGCACCACACCGCCCCAACGTCGTCCCCGACCCTCAAGAGGTCGTGGGATGGAAGCAAAACCCGCCACTGGTAATGTGTACACTCCAGGCGATGCTTAAGAAAACCCAAGTTTTCGGCCAGAGTCTCGATTAATCTTAATGTTTCAATGTAAATCCTAAGATGTTGATAGAAATGTTGGGTTTGTATTCAAGTTCTGAGACTATGAATTTCTTAACCCATGATTTCGTAAGCATTTCGCAGGGTGTATGTTCCAGCTTCCGACGAAGGGCGGCCTCGGGCGCTCCGCCGACGGGCCCGGCCGCATCGGCAGCCCCTGCGCGGGGCCTCGCCGCGGCCCGGGCCGCCCAGGCGGCGGCGCGGAGAGCGCCCGCCGGCAGGCACCCGAGCAGCCGCCACCGGCCGCTTCCCGCCCTGGACGACCTCTGGCCCCTCGGGGCCGTCCTGGAAGGGTGGGGGGAGGAGGAGGAGGAGGAGGAGGAGGAGGAGGAGGAGGAGGAGGAGGAGGAGGAGGGGAGGAGGAGGAGAGGAGGAGGAGGAGGAGAGGAGGAGGAGGAGGAGGAGGAGGAGGAGGAGGAGGGAGGAGAGAGGAGGAGGAGGAGAGGAGGAGGAGAGGAGGGAGGAGGAGGGGGAGGAGGAGGAGGAGGAGGAGAGGAGGAGGGGGAGGAGGAGGAGGAGGAGGAGGAGGAGGAGGAGGAGGAGGAGGAGGAGGAGGAGGAGGAGGAGGAGGAGGAGGAGGAGGAGGAGGAGGAGGAGGAGGAGGAGGAGATGCTGTCGGGACGGAAGAGGCGTGCACGCAGAAAGCGTATGTTTTCGGAAGGGACTGTGTCGAGTGTTGCCTCTTGGAGCCCTCGCGGGCGAGGCGCGCGACCGACGAGTGGCCGGCCCGAGTGAGCGAGCATCCGAGCAGGCCGGGCCGATGCGCGCGGACGAGGTGCGAGCAAGAGAGGCAAGCGAGGGGACCGAGGCGAGCAAGCCGAGCGACCGAGGAGCAAGCGAGCGGCTCACCTGCGAGCCCGCCGCCAGAATCTCGCGCGGGACATAGCCTCGAAACATATCGCCGGTCGGCTGTGCCTCCTCAGCGCGTGACGGAACAATGAGTTTGCCATTGTAACTTCATTGGTGATTTCATTGGTGGTGGGAAGAGGATGAGAGGAGGCGGGTGAGGAGGGAATGGAGGAGTGGAGAAACTTGGGGAGAACAGGGAGAGGGATGTGGACGAGGAGCGGGAGTGCGGGAAAAGCAGAGGCAGGAAGGGGGCGAGGAGAAGAAGGGGGCGATGAGAAGCAGGGGGCGAGGAGGAGCAGGGAGACGAGGAGATGAAGGAGAACGTGCAGGGGGAAGGGGGAGGTCAGGCCAGACCAGGTCAGGAGAACGAGCAGGGAAGGGGGAGCGGGAAGGGCAACGGGGAAGTGGCAAGCGGGCAGGGGGCTGCGAGGGTGGAGAGTGGAGGGGGGGACGAGGATGGGAGGGGGGAGAGGCGGCGGAGGAGGCGGCGGAGGAGACCTGGGGTTGAGGGATCGGGGGGGGGGCAAGGGGGGGGAAGGAGCGCGCAGAGCGAGGGGCCGCACCTGGAACAGCCACGGGGGCAGCGGCCGAGCCCGCTTGACGCTGACGCCCAAGACAATCTGGAACACCCAGACCTGCCACTCCCGCTTCACGCCTCCTCCTCCTCCTCCTCCTCCTCCTCCTCCTCCTCCTCCTCCTCCTCCTCCTCTTCCCCCTCCTCCTCCTCCATTCCATCTCCTTATAAATAACTACTCCCTGTCGCACCCCGAGGCCAGTTTTTAGGGCGGGCCGGGAGTTTCGCCTGAGATTTCCTCAACATGTATGCCTCTGAAGCGTAAACATTGACAAAAGCTTCACATATGGAAAGCGGGTGGTTTTCAAAATGTGGTTCTCGCTTCAGCGCCGCGCACACTCGCCTTAAAAAACTAGACGGGTTTCATGGATGGAGGGCGAATCCTGTTCAAAATATGGCTCTCGCCTTAGCGCCGGGCACATTCGTCTTAAAACTTCGCAAGAGCTTCACGGATCTAGGGCGAGTCCTTTTCAAAATGTGGCTCTCGCCTCAGCGCCGCGCACACTCGCTTCAATATGTGCAAGAGTTTCACGGATTGAGTGCGGCTCATTTTCAAAATGTGGCTCTCGTCTCAGCGCCGCGCACACTCGTCTTAAACATTTGCAAGGGTTTCACGGATTGAGGGCGGTTTCTTTTCAAAAATGTGGCTCTCGCCCTAGCGCCGCGCACATTCGTCTTAAACCATTGCAGGCGTTTCAAGGACTCCCAGGATCAACGTACTAGAAATTGTGCTTTGGAAGGATTCAGGCTTATGGGGGTGCACAAGTTATGTTGACTCGCGGTATTCAAGTCCCAAGAATGGCGTTCTGGCACGATCCAGGATCGCCAAGACGCAACAGTCAGGTTGATGCGTGGCGTTGGAATCCCGACGAGAACAATGGTTTGGCATGCTCCAGGGTCTTCAACCAGGTGTCTTCAAACGAGGCAGTTCCCTCAGTAAACATGAACCGTTGCAGGGGCCTACGAAGAGAGAGCTTGGAGGAAGGGTTTATTCCAACATCGTTGATGCCTCTTGGGCTTACACTTGTCCTCCTCCTCCTCCTCCTCCTCCTCCTCCTCCTCCTGCTCCTCCTCCTACTCCTCCATATCCTCATCCTGCCCCTGCTCCTGCTGCTGTTCCTGCTCCTGCTCCAGCTCTGGCTCAGGCTCCGGCTCCCGCTCCCGCTCCGGCTCCTCTTCCTCCTCCTCCTCCTCCTCCTCCTCCTCCTCCTCCTCCCGCTCCGGATCCTCCCACTCCTCCTACTCCTCCTCCTCCTCCTCCTCCGCCGCCCCGTCCTCCATGTCTTTCATGTCCTCGTCCTTCACGTCCTCCTCCTCCTCCTCCTTTTCCTCCTCCTCATCATCCTCCTCCAATCCTTTTCCTACAAGATAACTCTTCCCTGTCGCACCCCGAGGCCAGTCGAAAGGGCGGGCCAGGTGTTTCGCTTGAGACTTCCTCAGCCCTACTGGCCCTGATGCTTAAAATTGACAGCAGCATCACAAATAGAGGGCGGATGGTTTGAAAAATGTGGCGCTCGCCTCAGTGCCGCCGACATTCGTTTCAAACATTGCAAGAATTTCACGGATTGAGGGCGGAGGGCTTTCAAAATATGGCTCTCGCGTTGGCGCCGCGCACATTCGTTTCAAAACTGTCCAAAAGTTACACGGATTGAAGGCGGATTTGTTCAGAATGTGATTCTCGCCTTAACGCCGAGCAAACACGTTCAAAATGATTGCAGCAAGGATTGAGGGCGGCTCATTTGAAAAATGTGTCTCTCGCCTCAGTGCCGCCGACATTCGTTTAAAACGTTGCAAGAATTTCACGGATTGAGGGCGGGGGGCTTTCAAAATATGGCTCTCGCGTTGGCGCCGCGCACATTCGTTTCAAAACTGTCCAAAAGTTTCACAGTTTGAGGGCGGCTCCTTTTTTAAATGTGCCTCTCGCCATACCGCCGCGCAAACTCGCTCTAAACGATTGTAGGAAGGCTTGAGGACGGTTCTTGTGAAAAATGTGGCTCTCGCCTCAGTGGCGCCGACATTCGTTTAAAACATTGCACGAACTTCACGGATTGAGGGCGGGTCGCTTTCAAAATGTGACTCTCGCCTTAGCACCGCGCACATTCGCTTTAAACAGTTGCAAGAGCTTCACGGATTGGGGGCGGGTAGTTTTCAACATGTGACTCTCGCCTCAGCGCCGCGCACACTCGATTTAAGCATTTGTAAAGAGTTTTGCGGATTGAGGGCGGTTCGTTTCAAACTGTAGCTCTCGCTTCAGCGCCGCGCACACTCGTTTAAAACATTGCAGGAACTTCACGGGTTGAGGGCGGGTCGCTTTCAAAATGTGACTCTCGCCTCAGCGCCGCGCAAAGTCGTTTTAAACAGCTGCGAGAGCTTCACGGATTGAGGGCGGGTGGTTTTCAATATGTGACTCTCGCCTCAGCGCCGCGCATGTGCAAGTGTTTTGCGGATTGAGGGCAGTTGGTTTTCAACACGTGACTCTCGCCTCAGCGCCGCGCATACTCGTTTCAACATTTGAAAGGAGCTTCACGGATTGAGGGCGGTCGGTTTTCAGCATGTGACTCTCACCTCAGCGTCGCGCATACTCGTCTTAAACATTTGCCAGAATTTCACGGGTTGAGGGCGGTTCGTTTTCAAACTGTGGCTCTCGCTTCAGCGCCGCGCACACTCGTTTCAAACATTGCAGGAACTTCACGGATTGAGGGCGGTTCCTTTTCAACATGTGACTCTCGCTTTAGCGCTGAGCACATGTGTTGTAAACACTTGCAGGAGTTTCACTGGTTCTCACTGCTAACGTGCCAGAAATTATGTTTTGGAGCGACTCAGGGCTGTCAGGGCACAAAAGTTACTTTGATTCGCGGCGCCAAAGTCCAAGTAATGGCGTCCTTGTCCAAACGTAACAGTCAGGTTAGCTCGTGGCGTTGAAGTCCTGAGAATGGTTTTTTGGCACGCTCCAAGGTGTTCCCAGGGGTGTCCCCGAACGAGGCAATTCCCTGTGGAAATGACCCCTTGTAGGGGCCTATGAAAAAGGGATCTTGGAGTGAAGGTGTATGTCGACATCGCTGATGAGTCTTGAGTTTACACTGGTCCTCCTCCTCCTCCTCCTCCTCCTCCTCCTCCTCCTCCATCTCCCCCTTCTCTTACTCCATATCTTCCTCCTCCTGCTTCTCCTCGCTCTCGTCTTCTTTTTTTCGCTGGGCAACCTTAAATTTGCCAGGCTAGGATCGTAGCGTTCATACGCCTCCTCCCCCGCCTCCTCCTCCTCCTCCTCCTCCTCCTCCTCCTCCTCCTCCTCCTCCTCCTCCTCTTCCTCCCCATCCACCTCCTGCTCCTCCTCGTCGTCCTCCTTTTCTTTCTCCTCCTCCTCCTCCTCATGGGTCTCGGGGAACCTCCAGAGGGTCCAGAAGTCCCCTGACGTTTTTGGCTCTGGAGGACCTCGGCTGTCCAGAGGTCCCAAGCGGCCATTGGAAGCCCATGGAGGGCCGAAACCGTTAAAACACATACTCGAAAAGGGCCGAAACCAGCAAAAAAAAATCTTCGATTCGCGATCGATTTCATCCAACACATCCTCCCCTCTTCAGCCTCCTTTTCCAACTCTCCTCCTCCCGCGCCTCGAACCCCCATCCTCCATCCTCGACACCTCCTGCTCCCTCTGCTCCATGCCTCCTCCTCCAAGCCTCCTCCTCAACCTCCTTCAACTCCTCCTTCTTCTCCTCCTCCTCCCTGCCTCTTCATCCTTCATCCATCTTGCCTGGCTCAACACTTACACCATATGAATACTGCTCTCCTCCTCCCCTGAAATTGTCCGGAAGATCTTCCGCCCCCTCCGCGTGCTGATTTATAACACACAGGTCTTCAAAGATGATTTGTTTATCATGGCTTCTTGCAATCCGGTTGTTGTCGGTGTTTCACACTGCTACTCCCGCCGCAAGGTGGGTCTCATTCTCGGATCGGCGCTCTGCTCCCGTCGTTCAGAATCGCGGTCTCGCCCCAGCGTGGGCCACCTTCCTGGATCCGAATCTCCCCTCTCATTTCCCCTCCTCCGGCCTCCCCTGGTCCTCTTGTACCTCTCGCTCCTGCCTTTCCCATTCCTGCTGCTGCTGTTCGTCTCGCCCCAGCGCGGGCAACTGTTCTGAATCCGAGGCTTTCTTCACTGTTATCGCCCCCCTCATTTCCCTCCTCCACCTTCCCCTGGTCACAATTTTCCTCCCGATCCTTCCTCTTCAGGTCCGGGAGGTCCTTGGGGTCCCTCCTTCTGCTACCCCATCCTCGTCCCTCACCCCATCCGCCCCTCAGTTCGCCTCCGTCCCCTCTCCTTCCTCATCGGACGTCCTCCCCCCGCCCCCCCTCCTCCACCTCCCTCCCTTCACCCCTTCCCTATGTTGACAACTCCGCTCCCACTCCCTCTGTTGACAATTCCCTCTTGCACCCGCACCAACAACGCAACAACACAGGACATGATCGTCATCATCGCCGCCGTCATCAGCGTCAGCTTTACCATTGTCATCACCTCCCTCCTCATCGTTATCATCATCGCCCCCACAATTTCCACGTCACAATCACAAGCAGCATCAGTAGTATCAGCATCATCAGCATAATCAACGCCACGGGCATCGCCATTGCCAGCGTCGTCAACATCATCATCAGAGTCATCATCGTGGTAAACATCACCATCATCAGCATCATCACCGCCACCATCGTCATCATCATCAACATAATCATCATCGTCATCATCAGCATCGCCATAATGAGCATCGCCATCATGAGCATCGTCATCATCAGCATCGACATCATCAGAAGCATCATCATCATCATCAACAACATCATCATCAACAACAACATAATCATCAGTATCGTCACCACCATCATCATCATCATCATCATCATCATCATCACCATCCTAGTCATAGCCATCATCACAGTTGTCAGCATCGTCACAATCAACACCATCATCATCATCCTCATCATCATCATCATCATCAACAGCAGCAGCATCAGCATCATCATCATTGTTTCCGGATGTGCTGGTGGGATACGAGAAATACCAATACCTATAATACATGAGGGCCGACTCAAAGGCAAACAACATCCAGAGACATTCGAGACATCCCAAGACATTTCACGACATCCAAAAACATGCATCACCTTCCGCACCTTCCGCGGAGGCCAGAAGGAATGGCAGACGGAGGGGGAGGGTTGAAGTCTGGTGAAACAAGGCAGAATCGGCCAGGAGCCCCCCCCCTGTCGAGGACAAGCCGAAGAGATGAAGAGGATATAACCCCCGCTCGCGCCGCAGAGCGGGGGCGGGCGCGGGGGGCGGCCAGGAATATCAGCAGGGTTAGGAACTTCAAGTTCGTGTTGGTCCCACAGTGGGCCTGGGACTCGCGCTCAGTCGTGACTCTCTGACTGGTAGTGCTACACACCGTTCAGACGAAGAGAGCAGAAACGTGAAATCTGCCGACCCTGTCGGCGTGCGTGAGAGGCTTTCCTGTTTGAGTCGTCGTCATCGTCGTCGTCACCGCTCTCCATGTCCCTGTCTGTGGGCCCTCCTGTTGAAACGCTCCAGCCAAAGGGAAATCGAGCAACGTCGCAATCGAGTCGAAAGGACAACCCTTCCCTTTGATCCCTTCTCCGCCGGAAGGGGGTTGGGGGAAGGGGGGGTGGAGGGGGACCCCAGGAGGGGGTAGGAGGGGGGCCCAAAAATTTGTGACCCCCCTCCCCGTGGGGGGGCACCCGGCAGAGGCTTTCCCCATCGATTCCTTGCCTCCTCTAGACGCCTCCGTCTCCCCCTCGGCTGCACCAGCCGTAAGGCCTTGACAGTAAGAAGTCTTTGAAACTATCCGCCGGCCCCCTTGCGGGGCCATCAGGCTGCGAAGATCAGGCTTGCTGCATCAGTTGCAGTTTCCAATTTCCACTGTTGCAGTCCTCTGTTAATTGTTGCTGAACGCGCGAGGGGAGCCGAAAAAGCGTCCTGGCTAGCGTCCCCGAATCGCGCTGTCTGAATTCCCGGAGGATCGTGGGACGCGTAACAATACATGATATTCGCGTCCCCGAGGCCATAACCCTTAGAAAAATACACCATATACGCGTCCACGAGGCCGTCAACCATTGTAAATTACAGTATATTCGCGTCCCCAGAGCCGTAATCCCTGGTAAATTATACAATAATCGCGTCCCCGATTACATAAACAAATGGAAATTATATCATATTCCACCCCCGATACCATAAACCATCGCAAATTAATGCGAATACGCGCCCCCGAAGCCATAAGCCATCGAACATGATTCAAGATTCGGGTCTCCAGGGCCATGAACCATTGTAAATTTCACCATGCTTGCGTCCCCGAGGCCACAAACCCTTGCAAATTAGACCATATTCGCGTCCCCGAGGCCATAATCCATTGTAATTTACACAATGTTTGCGCCCCCGAGGCCATAAACCGTCTAAGTTATACAATATGTGCGTCCCCGAGGCTACAAACCCTTGTAAATGACACTAGATTCGCGTCTCCGAAGCCATAAACCATTGTGAATTATATCGTATTCGCGCCACCGAAGTCATAAACCTTCGAAAATGAATATTCGCCCTCGCGTGAAGTCCCGACATTGCTTCACGTCAGCGTCCAGACATCCCAACACAGCTCTGGCAAGTCCCATTCTAAGAGTGGGGGGGCCGGCGGCATGGGGGCGAAGCCCTCACGGATATTGTGTTTCAGCCCGCCCCCGCAGAAGGGGAGGAAAAGAGAAGACCATCGGGTTCTTGCAATAGGGAGACGTCGGAAGTATACTGGAACATCGAGCTGTTTCATGTTGTTGCAGGTGATCTCATTGTCCGATGCATCTCTACGAACTCTGCCCGCTCCCGGCTCTCGCGCCCTCCTCGTTCTCCTGACGCTGCCGGGCCACGGGGGGTGGAGAGCGGCGGAGAGCGGCATCACTAAGAACATGGCGGCTAAGGTGGCTCTCGAGGGTCGGAGTGGACACGGACAGAACGGTGACGAAGACCAGCAGCAGCTCTTGCCCATTCTGCGCAAGAGTCGCTGTCAGTGTCGCCGCGGAGGTGGCCCATCCGAGACAAGAAAAGCTTCTGGCCAGCAGCGGCCGCTGTCGTCTTTGGACAAGATTTGCTGTTGGACACCTTCCCATGTACCCATTTCGGGCGTGTGAGTTGGACGTGCACTGTCCCTGCGTTCACGGCAGCTTTCCAGTGCTATCCATCTGCCCTGGCTGCTCACACTCAAATCCACATGTTGGGTTTGCGCACTACTCGCAGGCACAATGACAAATGTGCACGCGACTGGCGCTGCCTACCACACAACTCCACGCAAATGTGTTAGCGGGCCTGGAACTCGATCGGGAGGAACACGGACGCCAAGTTCAAGAGCTGCGGGAGCAGCGTCAGATACGCGAAGGTGCGGACCATAAGCGGCATGTTCTTCGCGACGCACCCCATGGACTTCACGACGCACCCTGTGTCGACCAGATCGTCCTCCTCTGGCGTGAGGGGAGATGGGCTTCCAAACGCAAGCGAATCCCGGCACCCAAGGCACTCTCTGGGAAGCGGCCCAGGGGGGAACGGGAAGGACACCGGGGAGGGAAGGGGGGAAGAGGGGGCGAGGGCGGTCAGAAAGCCATGGGCCCCTGTCCCTCAGCGCACCGTTGCGCTGCACCCTCGGGATATCCCGCCTGCCCCCTCGCGCCGCTGTCCGCGTCGAATTCGCGTCGGTGGAGGCCGCCCACATGGGTCCGAACTGATGGGGTCGGAGGATCGCGCCGTCATCGTCGATGCATCGCCGACACATCGGCCTCGGCGGCCTCGGCGTGGAGAATATCGGGCCCCACGTCGAGCCGCATCGCCGATGCGTGGTGCATCGGCGATGCAGGGCGATCCGACGACCCCACCCAGTTCGACCACGTCTGGGCGAACCTGGAGTTGAACAAACATAGAAAAGACAACGCACATCGTGAGACAGACGGGTCAACCCCCGAAGATGCAGAGCGAGCGACTCCGAAACATCCGACGTCGTGATTATTCACAAGGTGGCTCCCCGAGGGTCTGGAGCTCTTCCCGGGGACCAGTTTTTCGTCATGAGTCGACCTTTCAGGGTCAAGGGCCTGGTGAGGGCCCCTAGAAGCCGAAACTTACCAAAAACCTTCCGTCGTGATTTGTTTCACGGCGCGGGTGAATTTTCCCTAAACCCGACCTTGGGGTAACCCAATTCCTCGAACCGCCGATCATTCATCTTGGCAACCTGTAGGTAGGCGAAGGACCCACCTACTTCTCGCCACCATCTGGGCGTCCCCGCCTGCCCACTTCTCGAACCCCGCATGGGAGCCCACCTGCCTCGCGGACCCCATCGGGGCATGGAGATCCGCCGACTCCGCCTGCGTCTCGACCCCATCTGGGCGGCGCCCAAAGCTGGACACGGGGACAAGCCGCCGAACTCGTGAGACAGACCAGGCCCCCCCCCCCAATGATCGGAGGAGAAGCAAAGACCACTGCCACCGAGAGCCCGTCCAGGGGGATCACCCTGGGCGGTGGCACGCCAGAGCGTCGTCTGGAGCGGGGTGGCGCTCAAGCGCACCACCGCCACGGGGCTGCTCCCCCCCCCCCCCCCCCCCGATGGTTATTTACTCGGTGGCGGTGGCCTTTGCTACTCATCTGAGAAGATGTGGCGGGAGCGCCTAGCCGAACAAAAGCTGAATAAACCTACTCCTTGGGGGTCGGCACGGATTTCTTGGATCGCGCCTGGGCACCCCTTCCTGGCAGCGAGGAGCGCCGCCAGGGGGCCCAGGCCCGATTCAAAGAAATCCAAAAGGAACTCCGTGAAATCATGTCTGTGCATTTTTTGTTGTTCGAAGGGCCTTCTGCAGGCGATGGATGTGGATACAGTCAGGCCCCGTTGGGCCAAAATTGACCCGTATCCACCGCCCGCTGGGGTCACAGGACGTCGTTTCCCAAGAATGTGGATATGGATGACCCCCCGCCTCGCAAGACCGATCCAAGACATCCGCGCGGACCTCCGAGACATCATGCCAGCGCCGTCTTTACTCTTCGCTTCGCGTCGGAACAGGCGCAAGGAGCGAGAGCGGCTCCTGCATCTTGGCAACCTGCAGGTAGGCCAGGAACAGTCCTCCGAGCCCGCCGAGGCGGCCGAGCTCCCCGAGGCTGGCCGAGCCCGCAGAGGCGATGCCGAGGCGGCCGAGCCGCCGAGGCGGCCGAGCGCGCCGAGGCGGCTGAGCCGGAGGGAGAGCGGGACGAGGTGGGAAGGGATGAACATGATTAACAGCATTGGCGCAACCAGACTCCATGAGCGCAGGGGAAGCCAAAACACTGGGCTGCCTTGGGCGTCGAGCCTGGGCCGCCCTCGGCAGAGAAGGGCAGGGAGGGGAGGGGGAGGGGAGGGGGAGGGGGAGACGGTCACCGGGCCACAGGGGCGGGGTTCTCGCAGTGCTCAGGGCAGCGGCGGCCAGGGGCCGCGATGCTCGCGGGGGGGAGGGGGCCCGCACGTGGCGCGCGAGGCTGGGAGGACGGGCCCGGTGCCGCCAGCAGGGCGGCGGACGCCTCGCCCGGGCTCGAGCGGCCAGGGGTGCCCCCAGCTCCGCATCCAGGTGCCCAGCGGAAGGACAGGGATCGTCGACGCCAGGACCAACGCCACCGCCGACCAGGGCAAGGCGCAGACCCATGCGCTGACGGGCATCCCGCCGTGCGAGTGGCGATGGACGTTCGGCGGCAAACAGCTGGAAACGGGACGCACGCCCTCCGACTACAACGTCCAGCCTTTGTTCAGAGTGGCATTGCTGTTGCGCGTGCGGGCCAACTGCCAGTGGTGCAAACATGGCTACGGCGGGTGCATATACGAGGCGTTCGACCCGTGCCGGCACGCCCACTCGAACTCCACCCAGGTTGGGCAACGCAACCATTCGGAGCCTCAATGCCCCGGCTCAAGAGCTGGCCGAACGGGTGGGCGACTTCATCGCCATGCCGCGGCGGCGCGGGAACATCCAGGTCTTTGTGGAGATCCCGCCCGACCTGTGCCTTGGGAGGCCGCACTGGGAGGATACTCCGTCCCCGAGCCCCTTCGCCATGCGCACTGAGCCCAGCGCTACCGTCGATTCCATCGAGACGAGGATCCGCGATCTGGTGAACATCCACATCCGAAAACAGCAGTTGTCGATCGCTGGCGAATTCGCCGGCCCAACGGGCCAGAGGCGTGCTAAGATCTCCGGTAACTGGTTAACAATTCTCTAGTTCGCGCGCGCGGGGCGGCCCCTGGGGGTCCACGGACGAAAAGTACCCCGGCAAGGTCCTGAGAGAGTCCCGGGAGGAGTCCCCCAGAGCGCTCCAGGAGCGCTCCATGAGCGCACCAACAGGGCTCCGAGACGTCCCCGAGAGCCCCAAGAAAGGCCAAGAGGCCCCCAAGAGGCCCCCAAGATGGTACACGAGGGGTCCGACATGCCACAAGATCGCTCCAAGACGCCCAAGATAGCCCCCAGACGCCCCAAGAGGCCTCCAAGAGCACTCCCAAGAGGGCCCCCGGAGGCAAAATTCATTGTTTTTCCTTACGTTTTTGAAAGATTTTGGAACTTCCACCTTTTCGGTTCCCGACGCCCCAAGACGGCCCCAGAGGCCCCCAAGATCGCCCCAAGAGGGCCCAAGAGGCCCCCAAGAGGGCCCCAAGATGGCCCAAGAGGGCTCGAAGACGGCCCAAGAAGCCTCCAAGACGGTCCAAGAGGGCCCCAAGAACACCCCCAAAGGGGCCCCAGAGAGGGAACACGAAACAAAATTTCGAGCCCTCGGCCCTAAGAATCCCCTACGAGGCCCCTAAGAGGCCCCAAAAGGCCCCCACGAGGCCCTCAGGAGGCCCCCAAGAGTCCCCCAAGCGGCCCCAGGAGGCCCCCCAAATGCCCCCCCGAGCGCCCCAGGAGTCCCCCAAGCGGCCCCAGGAACCCCCAAAGCGCCGCATTGACACCAGGCCCTCGGGCAAACGGCAGACATGAGACCGTATGGGCCGGCGGAATGAGCGAAGCGATTAATAATTTGGGAACAACGACGCGCTGGCGGGATGGTGTTCAGGCAGGCGATACCCGCCGAGTGCCGCGGCGCCCGCGGGGCGAGCCGGTCCCAGTGCCCGCGGTGGTTCCGAGGGCCCCTCGCCGCGAGCGCGCTGGAGCCAGGCTGGGAGCGGTACTACTCGCGCAGTTACTGGCCGCCGCGTCCCCAGCATCACTGACGAGAGGGCCGCGCGGGCACACCGCTGATCGAATGCGTTGGCCCTCGCTCCACGTCCCCGAACTGGCAGAGAGCAGCGCCACGCAGCCCACCTTCAGCGACGCGACCACGGTAATGACTGTCGCACCAGCAGGTAGCGCATCGGGGGAGCGTAGCGGGGCCTTGGGCAGCACGATGGCGGCCTCGAGTTTCGCCGTACACTTTGGGGACTCCAGCTTCGACCCCGCCTGGCCCTCCCCGAGCTACCACCACACCAATATCGGCATCTTGACAACAACCGCGGCCAGCACCGTCTCGGCGACATGCACAAGTGACAGGACCAGGGCCACTCTGACAAACACGACGGTGAGCAGCGCAAGGGAAAGCAACATCACGAGCGCTGGACGACTGCGGCCAGCACCAGCGCTACCACCAATACCAGTGCGATCAGCCTCAGCATCAGCCTCACCAACAAGACCAGCACGACTGAGATCAGCAGAGCCACGAGCTTGTCGATATCTTCGGGCTACACGCTGCTGCCACCAGGCCAGACGTGCTTTGAGGTGTGCATTCACAGGACATTCCCAGCTTCGAAGAATTATTTTCACTTGCCAGAGCCTCCGCCAATCTAAGCTCTTGGCAGACGGTGAATTATACAGGCGACCTCCTGCCGTTCAATTGCGTGCAGCTGGCCTCGACGTACGCGGCAAACCATGGGGACTCCTGCTACTCGTCCCTCTCCTTCTTATCCTCCCTCTCCTCCTCCCTCATCTTCCTCCTCCTCCTCCGCCTCCTCTTCCTCCTCCTCCTCCCTCTCCTCATCCTCCTCCTCCTCCTCCTCCTCCTCCTCGTTCTTCTTCCTCCTCCTCCTCGTTCTCCTCCTCCTCCTCCTCCTCCTCCTCCTCCTCTCCTCCTCCTCCTCTCCTCCTCCCCTCCTCCTCCTCCTCCTCCTCCTCCTCCTCCTCCTCCTCCTCCTCTCACCTCCCTTCTCCTCCTGCGCCATCCTTGCCTCGCGGCAGCCGGCCGGCACTGTGGGGGCCCGCGGCGGGAAAGGGCACCGCGGGCAGCGGGCGCGGATATGAGAGAGAGGCCGCCCTGGACGTCCGCACGCCGCGGTCCCGAGCCGTGGCCGATGGTGCGCATCAGCGACGACGACGACGACGACGACGACGACGACGACGACGACGACGACGACGACGACGACGACGACGACGACCGCGTCGACGCGCCGCCCCTTCAACCGACGGTGTGTCCAGAGGATCGAGGGGGGTCGAGAATCGAGGAGGGTCCGGGACCATCGCGGGTCGGCCTTGGGAAGCCGCTGATCCTTCGGGGAGCCTGCGACGGCCCTCGGAGCGTCAGAAGCGGGCGCGATGCCAGGCAATGTCTGGCAGGACTTCTGCGAGTCATCTGCGAGCCCCACGCCCTCACGCCACAAAGCGCTGCATGCATCGACCACCCCCTCCCGAGGACTCCTGCGCGACCCATACGCCGCGTGGCGCTCTCTAACGCCCTCCGAAGCTTCCAAGACTGTCCCCTGCGCGGGCCGTCTCGTGTCTCCGAGCGGGGGGGGGGCGCCGCAACCCGAGGCGCACCGCACGGCACGCTGTGACTCGACGCGCGGCAGCGCCGGCGCAGCCTCGGCCCGTCTCGGCGCTGAGTGGGCACCCGGCGGGCGGGCGGCTTCGCCCTTCCCCTTCCCGTCCCTCCCCCCTCCGCGCTCTCTCTGTCGCGTCGTCACCTCTAGGGAGCCCACAAAGGACGTACGCGCCCAACTATGCACATGAACACGGCCCCTTGACCCGCGAGACCGGCCGCGTGATACGAATATTCGCGCAATGCGAAATCTCGAAAACAGCGTGGATTCATGTACGTGTACGTCCTTCTTTCGCTCCTGACCCTCGTCGTCGTTCCCCCTCTTTCCCACAGGGGCTCCTCCGCGCAGGTGAAAAAAGTGGGTTCGCGCCAACGTGTGCTTATCCACCGAAGCCCTTCAGTACGACGCAGGCAACATCGTAAAGGTCGACGCAGGCTGTGCGCCCTCGGCGGAGCTGAACGGGATACACACGTCAGGCTAGCACACGTCCTGAGGATCATTGATCTGGGCATACGGTGGATTGCGGACACTCGCGAAGGCGCGGCCAGATAGTAGGCGATGGCGTTAAACGTCAGGAGCAGATTCTGGCCAATACACTTGGCGCAGTGGTCGCAGGTGCACGCCTGGCCAGAGGGCCGTCTGCTCTGACCTCCCCCGAGCCCTCCTCGACCTCTGCTGCACCCGTCGCGTCATGTCTCCTCCCCCCCTTAAAACAGGGCTAGGATCAGGACAAATCGCTCCAGAGCGTTCCAGAGCGCTCTCAGAGCGTTCCGGAACGCTCTGGAGCGGCCGCGGCGCCCAATACATCCTCCAAACCCGCCGATTCTCAGAGATTTCGAGTTATCCCGATCCGATTTTGTCCCGATCTTCGCGTCGTTTTACCCCTCCCCCACCTCCTCCCACCCTGGCTGTCTTGGGCCCACGCGGACCCCGTGAGCGAGCGCCTGCTGGGGCAGGCTGGATCCAACTCCGCGCCAGCGGGCTGAAAGAGAGCTCCCTGGGGCCCTCTTCGAGGCACTCGCGGCCTCCTGGGGCCCGCTTTGAGCCGTGTGAGCGCCTGCCTGGCGGCCCTCCCAAGGCTGACCCCCAAGACGATCGTGGTGCAGGGACTGGGAGGCCTGGAAATGGGCACCAACACCAAGACAGAGGGCTGCCTCCACAGGGGGGAGGTGATCCTAGATTTCGGTGTTGGTGGAAATAGTTCGGCCCCCTTGGAGGCCAGAATATTACCACCATCACCGAGATCGGGATCTTCTTCCCTCGGTGGAGGAACACCGCCGATCTTGGTGTTGGTGTCAACCTCTAGGCCTGCGAGGGACGGGGTGTATCTGGCTTCCCCCGACTGGGACGGCGTTCCCACCTGCTACCCACAGACCTCGGCAGCCCTGCCATCGTCGCCCCCGCCTCGCACTCCGTCTGTCGTCGACGACGTCCGCAGCCCATGGCACGGCTGGGGCACTGAGGACACCACCAGGCCGACGCCCACCGAGCCGCCATGCAGGTTGCCCCTGCGCGCACGGCACCACCAAAGGCCAGCGCGATCGACGCTGCCGCAGCTGTCCGCTCTGGGGGCCCGCCTCTCACCTGGGCGTCACCAGGCCCGGACCGCCTGGCTCGCCCAGGGCAGGGGTGCGGCGGTGCGGACACCGACGAACACCTGGGAGAATCGGAGGCGATGAGGGCAGGGCATAGATGGATGACGCTGAAGTCCCGGAACCTCCTCCCACTCCTGCTGCTCCTCTTCCTCCTCCCCGCCTCCCTCTGCCTACAAGCCTCAATACCCGTTGACCCAATTACCGCAACCACCCTGACAACTCGCAAGAAGCCCTAGGCATCGTCGTCGTGCTCCTCCACCTGCTCCTCCTGCTTCTCCTCCTCCTCCTGCTCCTCCTCCTCCTCCTCCTCTTGATCTTCCTCGCCCCCAGAGGTCTCCGGAGGCCCAAGGGAATCAAAAGCAAAGAAAGTACAGACAGCGTTAAAATACATCCTCCTTCTCCCCATTCCCCCCTCCTCCTCCTCCTCCTCCTCCTCCTCCTCCTCCTCCTCCTCCGCGCCTCCTCTGGTTTCCGTAACCACTGAGGGCAGCACCACCAACTCTCACCCCTAGTCAGGCCCCCGCTCCCGACCTGGTGATCCAGAGGGTCCTGGCTGGGGGTGGCGGAGCTTTTGTGGGGCTGGCGGCCTAAAAGCACCCCCAGCCAGAACACCTGGATCAACGGGTCGGTGGTGGGGGCCCTGGCCGGGGGCGGGGGCGGGCTGTGCTGTCCTCATCAGCATCATCAGCATCATCATCATCATCATCATCATCATCATCATCATCATCATCACCACCACCACCACCACCATCATCATCATCATCATCCTCATCATCCTCTTCCTCACTGTCCTCGTCTCCCTCCTCGGCGTGGAGCCTCCATAGTGGCCGGCTTCTCCTGGCACTGAGACACGTCGTCCATCGGGCATGTCACCGTCCTCGTCCTGGCACAGCCCCGCAGACAGGCCCAATAAGGGCAAAAAGCAAATAGTAAAACATCGATGCTCGATCATCGACAGATGCCACTTTCCAACAAACGGCCACGGGTTCAGTCAGCCATGGCTTCTACCGCGCGGATCTGCCCGACCGCCTCCCAGGGAGGCTCCATCCCACGTTCTCGCACTCTTCGCTTACATGTAGGACGAGGAGAAGGAGGAGGAGAGCGATCCAGACATTCAACGCGCCATGGACTGACATTCACGATGGTGTGGCGCCATTTTCGGCATCTAGGGCCTCTTTGCCCGCTCTTTGGACCAGCAACAAGAATCGGGACGTAAGCCAGGTCGGAACTTCAAGGGGTACCGCATCGAACAAATCGAAACATTGGAGGCCTGGAGGTGTGGACGCACAGCGGGTCGGTATCACACAATACTATCTACAAGCACAGCACGCATCCTCAAAGTGTAATGAGGTCGGCTGGCCACCCCGGTGGTGCGGAGGGGGGGAACTGGTGTGGAAGGCGTGAGGATGGAGGTGTACAACACTACCAACCCAAAAGCAGAAGAAACCTCTAAACAAGCATGAACTGTAATAGGCCCATGTGGACCTCGACCCCTCTGGGGCCTCCGAACATTGATTTCCGCTTCTTATCCTTCCTCTCGGGAACAAAGCGCGCTGGACCTCCTCCCTCAGGTCAGGATATGTTCATGCAGTGCACCATGCGAGTGGGCGATTCGGCTCAGCTTTCGGAGGGAGGCCCCCGAAGGTCGGCCCCCCTGGCTGAGGGTGAGGACAGCACAGCGCGCCCCCGCCCCCGGCCAGGGCCCCCACCACCGACCCGTTGATCCAGGTGTTCTGGCTGGGGGTGAAGGTGACTTTTGGGCCGCCAGCCCCACAGAAGCTCCGCCACCCCCAGCCAGGACCCTCTGGATCACCAGGTCGGGAGCGGGGGCCCTGACTAGGGGTGAGAGTTGGTCGTGCTGTCCTCAGTGGCTACGGAAACCAGAGGAGAGGAGGAGGCGCAGAGGAGGAGGAGGAGGAGAGGAGGAGGAGGAGGGAGGAGGAGGAGGGAGGAGGAGGAGGAGGAGGAGGAGGAGGAGGAGGAGGAGGAGGAGGAGGAGGGAGAGAAGGAAGGAGGAGGAGGAGGAGGAGGAGGGGGAGGGAGGAGGAGGAGGGGGGAGGGAGGAGGAGGACGAGGAGAAGGAGGAGGAGGAGGAGGAGCAGGAGGAGGAGGGCGAGAGCTGGAGGGGGGCAGCGGGGAGGGGGACGGGGCAGCGGCAGCGGGACGTGGGCGAGAGCACGGAGAGAGCGCCCCGTCTCCACGTTTCGGGCCTCCGGGGCTCGCAGACGTGCCCAGAGAGGCCCCCCCAAGACCGCCCCGAGACGGCCCCAAGGAGGCCCCCAAGACGGCCCAAGAGGTGCCCAAGACGGACCGGGGGGGGGGGGGGCGGGGAGGCCGACGCCGCCTGGGTCGTGGGGCCCTGGCATCCCGTCACGCCGCTGTCCGCATCGAATCCGCCTCGGATCTGTGCTGGATGTAAATTCCACGTCGGATCACAGTCGGCCCCGCGTCGGGGTGTACAAGAGAATCCGCCACCGTGCCTCTAGGCACGGAGTGTGCGTGTCCTCAGGTCCTTTGCCTAATCCCCTGAGCCGCAGTCCTCAATCCTGAAGATTCTGAAGGGGCCCAGAGCTCAAATCCTCAATTCTCCTGGGGAGTGCCGCGTCGTGTCGGGGAACCGGCGCATCTTCTTGCATGGTCTTTTCAGGCCCACGAGGGCTCGAACACGAGCCCGGAGGGCCCCAAGAGGATCTCAAGACGGTCCAAAACGCCCCACGAGGCCTCCTGAGAGGGCCCCAAGAAACAACAATGTTTGATTCCCATTTAGTTTTTGTAGGTTTTTGGTGCTCTCGCCTTTTCGGCTTCCCGACGCTCCAAGACGGCCAATGAGGCCCCAAAAATCTCACCGAGACGGTCCCAAAGGCTCCCAAGAGGGCCCCAAGACGGCCCAAGAGGGCCTCAAGACGACCCAAGAAGCGCCCTGGACGGCCCAAGAGGGCACAAAGACGGCTCCAAGAGGGAGCCCAGCTGGGGAAACCGAACGGACATTTCGAGCCCTCGGCCCCGAGGGGCCCCCAAGAGGCCCTAAAGAGGCCCCCGAGAGGCCCCCCAAGCGTGACCCGGGGTGCAGAGAGTGAGGGCCAAGCGCCGACCCAAGAAGTCCGAGCGGGCCTCCGAAAGCAGTGTGTTTGCGCTGCTGTGGGGGCCTTCTGGGGAGGGCGAGGGCCCTCTCTGCAACTGGTCTGATTCGTGCGCGCACGAGCGCGCGTGCCAGGGCTGACCCGCCGTCTTCGACGCTTCTTCTCCTCTGTCCCACGAGAGGCGGCGCAAAGGAATGAAATCTGGACGAAGCACGACCGACACAGCGACACAGCGCATCTGACATTAAACGATAGTTTGTCTCCCCAGCCGAGGGGACCGGCGGGCCCAGGACGCCGAGGCTGAACAAGCGGCGTTTGGGCGAAGGGCGCCTTCAGGCCTGCGGCGGGGCAGCCAGCGGCCAGCCGCGCAAATCGCGTGCGTGTGCTGACGGGTCAGTGGTCGGAGAGCGATCGGAGACCCGTTGCGCCAGCGTGCTGTCGGAATGCCAGTCCCGCCTTCGCATGCCGATTGGTGGATGCGTGCCGTCCTGTGGGACGCACAAAGACATACCAGCACTGCATGTTCTCCTTGGAGGCGCGCGTCCACCCGAACACTAGTAGATCCTTTTCCCGAGCGGTGTGGCCAAAAAGCGCCCGTCGCGACACAGATACCTATACGACCACCCTTCGGGTGAAAAGGAGGTTGTGGGGGGGAAAACGGGGAGGAGCCAACATCTGACTCGATCGATCTCACTATCGATCTCACTCAACGGGACACCACGGGACACCACGGCACACTTGTCGATCTCACGATCGATCTCACTATCGATCTCACTCAGCGGGACACCACGGGACACCACGGGAGCGCCACGGCGTCATGCGAAGATGCATATGGATTGGGTTGGGTGGATTTGATTGGATTGGATGACATGGATTGGATAACATAAAAAGGAGTTGGATTGGAAGAGATGGATTGGATAAGAAAGATGGGTTGGATTGGCCCGCAGCAGGCGCAGAAACAAATGAATTGATGGATTGGGTTGGATGGATTGGATTGGGTGGGACAAGACAAGATGGGACAATATAGGTTGGATGATACAAGATGGATTGGACACGATGGATTGGACATGATAAGCTGGGTTGGATAAGAAAGCCCGCCGCAGGCGCCGACAAAAATGAAATTGATGAATTGGGTTGGGTGGATTGGATTGGATGAGATTACATGGATTGGATAACATGAGATGGGTTGGATTGGAAGAGGTGGATTGGATGAGAAAAGATGGATTGGATTGGCCCACCGCAGGCGCAGAAACAAATGAAATGATGGATTGGGTCGGATGGATTGGATTGGGTGGGATAGGATAAGATGGGACAAGACAGGTTTGATAAGATATAATGTATTGGATTGGACAAGATTGACTGGATAAGATAAGCTGGATTGGATAAGGAGAAAGCCCGCAGCAGGCGCCGACAAAAAATGAGTTGATGGATTGGGTTGGGTGGATTGGATTGGATGGGATAAGATGGATTGGCTAACATAACATGAGTTGGATTGGAAGAGATGGATTGGGTAAGAAAAGATGGGTTGGATTGGCCCGCCGCAGGCGCATAAACAAATGAATTGATGGATTGGGTCGGATGCATTGGATTGGGTGGGATGAGATAAGATGGGACAAAATGGCTTGGATAAGATGGATTGGATTGGACAAGATGGATCGGATATGATAAGCTGGATTGGATAAGAAAGCCCGCCGCAGGCGCCGAACAACACGAACTATGAAATTAGCGACATGCGTTAGCGCAGGGACGCCCGGGACACCCGGGACATCCGGGACACCGCCCGGCCCAACTGGGACACCTCCCGGTCCGCGGCGGACGGGAAACGGACTTTCGCTCCTACTGACACCCGGGGCACCCGGGCCACCGCCCAGCCCAACTGGGACACCTCCCAGCCACCGGCGGAAGACTTTCGCTCCTACTTCGGCCTAGCTACAGGAGGATCGCGCGCAGCTTCGCCTCGCCCGCACGCACGACACGAGCACGAAAGCGAAACCGATTTCCCGGTGGGGGGTCTCCGTTTCACTGCGATCTCACCCTCCAACCTCCGACTACAAGATGTCGCGGTGCGCGCGTCGCCCCCTAGGGGGCGACGCACATATAGTATAGGTTTGTGGATGCCGTGACAGTGGACACTCTAACAATCCGATGATTGAATGAGAAATGTGTTTAACATATGTAAAACATGCTCTAAACATGTGTCAAACGTGTTCGTACAGATTTAAAACATGTTTGAAATCATTTGGCAACCTGCTTCCTCTCCATTGATCGACTTCCACAAGTATAAGGATGCTGGGGTGGCGCCGATGTTGAGGGCCTCGCCGGTCGAGGCAAGGAGTGGCAACATCAGCACGAGCGGCAGAGGACAGGGAGGAGGGGAACCAGAATCCCTAACAGGCATTGTGGATGCCACGACGATGGACACCCTGACAGTCCTACCATTGACTTCAAAATGTGTTTGAAGTGTAGGAAAATGCTCTAAACATGCTTTAAACTTGTGCTCGACATGTTTCAAACATGTTTAACACATGCCTTAGACATCCGGAAATTGTTTGGCGACATGCTTCCTCTCCATTGATCGTCCTCCACAACCCTCAGATGCAGTCGAGGCCAGTCCACAAGAAACCTTCCACAAGAAACAACCCTGAGACCCCAGGGCGTCCATCGATGTTGGGTGTGGGGCGACGTCGATCCTGGTGCGCGCAGCTGCGCACCGGCTTCCCGCACCTACCAGACCACCCCAACCCAACCCGAAGACCCGAATTTGACCCGAACTTCGGGTTTGGGGGGGGTACGGGTTCCATGTGTTTTTTCAGTGTTCCCCGACCCCCCCAACTGGGAATGGAGGGCGCAAATTGAGGCCTTCGGGTCGGGTTGGGGTGGTTTGGCGAGTGGTCAACATTGGAGGAAGAAGAAACGGCATACAGTCGGACTTCGTTGGACAGGACACGCGAGAGGACAACAGACCCTTCCGGGGGCCACATGGCCATAGGAATGCAGGAGGCACGGGTCGCGAGGCACAGGACACAAAGGTACCCTTGATTTGGCAGGGTCGACCTACTAATCCGGGCCGACTGTAAACACAACTGTTGACGATCTGCACGGATCTCTTGGATCTGAACCTAGGGCTCCCAACTTCGCGCTTCGCGCTCCGCGAAGCGCGAATAACTTCGCGCCCTCGCGCCGCCCCCCCAAAGGGAGAAAAGGAGGACGAGGAGGAGGGGGAGAAGGAACGAGGACCACGAAGCGCGAAGCGCGAATAACTTCGCGCCCTCGTGGGAGCCCTTGTGAACTGGACCCCCTGACGGCGCCTCCTGCGCAGCCCCTGGCGCGCTCCGTTCGCCATGGAGGAGGATCCAGCGCAGATCCAAGAAGTCTGCGCAGACCGTCAAACTGAAGGGGCCCTGGGACACACAACTAAACACACACAAATAAAAAGATTCCCCATATGTTCGCATATTTTGGGGGGTGTTTGTCTTCCCCCCCACTTCCCATATTTTCACATATTTTCCTGGGAATCGACCATAAATTGTGTCTGTGTGTTTTTGTCCCCTCCTGACAAACATTGATTGTTCCTCTTGAGATGTGCCAACTGCAGCCAGCGCGGCTTGAGCCATGACACGTCGGCCGCCCCCTGTGCGGTGGCATCCTCTCTCGAAGCCTGGGGGCAGCGCCGCGGCACGGACCCTGGACTCGGCCGTGATAGGGCGGCAATGCACATCTAGAGAATCGTCGCTGGTATCACCGGCGTGATCGACGAACTAACAACACACACCCATACCCATAGGGGATCGGAGAGGGCTATGGGTGCGTGTTGTCGGATGGGGGTCCCCGCTCGAACGGGAGCGTTATCCAGGGGCCGACAACCCGCACCCATACCCATAGCCAGTCCTCCTCCCAACGACCTCCCTATGGGTATGGGTGTGTGTTGTTCGTTCGTCAGTGATCAGCTTCTCCGTTCTCATCAACAAAATCAAATGTCAGCATCTCTATGGCGAACAGTATCGCCAACACAGGCACCCTCATTCTCATAATCATCACCGTCACCATCATAATTCACGATCATGGCATCGACATCAGCCTGCCACCCTCCTCCTGCTCTGCATCATCCCCTCCTCCTCCTCCTCGAACTCTGCTTCTTCAATCTCCTCCTCTTCAACCTCCCTTTCTGTAGCTCGGCATCTTCCCGCAGATGACCCTTCTCCTCGGAAACTTCCCGTCCAATCCTGACGCCGTCGGTGCACTGCTGCAAACATGTGCACTCGGACCAGTCCGTCTCCTGCAATCGAGTGAGGGAGGCTGACAACGTACCATGCATCGACGAGAGGGGTGTCTGTTCCTGGAAATAGCTATTACCAAAAAGGTTCACACATCATAGCCGCATGCATGAACGCTGCCTCTTGCTTTCCCTCACCTTGTTTCCTGATCCACTTGCCGTAGCACCTCCTCCTCCTGCCAAGCCCAATGTTACCTGCACGGCCCGTCGCATGACATCTTGGTGCCACTGCCCTCTCGTTCGCCGTCCTACCACTACACGTTCAAACAACGGTGCAACCAATATTAACAGTGTTAACACAGACAACCGTCTACATCAACATCGGCATAGGAAACAACTCCTGTAAACAATTCGCAGACGTATGATACTTCCTATAACGCAAAAAGGGGAGGAGGAAAGAGGTAAAGAGAGGGAGGATGGGCCAGATGATGAGGAAATGGAAGGGCCGCACTAGCACGCTGAAACTGAAGGAAAGGGAGATCAGAAGGAAGACGTGCAGGAGGACGAGGGTGATGAATTGGAAGAGGGTGGGTGAGCAAGAGAAGGAGGAAGAAGGAGGATACGAGCAAGAGAAAAGAGGATGAGAAGATGGGGGGAGGTGGGGGATGAAGAGCCAAACCAGGAGTGGGAGGAAAAGAGTAGAGAAAAAAGGAAACAGGAAACATGACAAATGAAGAAGGGTGAAGAGAGGTTGGAGGAGAACGCGAGAAGGGAGGAGGCATGAGAGGGAGGCTCCTCCTCATCCTCCTCCTCCTCCTCCTCCTACTCCTCCTCCTCCTCCTCCTCCTCCTCTTCCTCCTCCTCCTCCTCCTCCTCCTCCTCCTCCTCCTCCTCCTCCTCCTCCTCCTCTCATCCTCCTCCTCCTCCTCCTCCTCTCCTCCTCCTCCTCCTCCTCTTCCTCCTCCTCCTCCCTTCCTCCCCCTCCTCCTCCTCCTCTCCTCTCCCTCTCCTCCTCTTCCTCCTCCTCCTCTCCTCTTCCTTCTCTTCTTTTCTCCTCCCTCCTCCTCCTCCTCCTCCGCCTCTTCCTCCTCCTCCTCTTCGTCCTCCTCGCCCTGCTCCTCCTTCTCCTCCTCCTCCTCCTCCTCCTCCACCTCCCATTAATGCACCCCCTATCATTGCCTGCTCCGCCGAAGAGTGGTGACACGAAGCGGCAGATCCCGCCTCCCAGGCTTCGCCTTCTGCGTCGGAGGCGGAGCTGGAGCTGGAGCTGGAGCTGCTGCTGCTGCCTGGGGGCTCGCGCGGTCGCGCTCTGTGTTTGCCCCTCACGCGGGCCACTCGCGAAGATGCCGAAGGCAGGCCATGTCAGAGCGACTGCTGGGCCTCATCTTCTTCCCCATCTTCCTCCTCCTCCTCGTCCTCCTCCGCCTCCTCATCGTCATCCTCATCGCTCACCTCCTCGTCGGTCCCCCCCCTCAATCTTCAGTCTCGCCTGATCGATCTCACATGGAGCGGTGTAATCTCTCAGGCGAAATCCGTGACAAATCCGCTGGCCCCCTACCGTAGATTGTTAAAGTCCGTGCGAGGGGGGAGCCGAAAAGCGTCCGGTTACCATCCCCGAATCGCGTTGTCTGAATTCCTGCGGAGCCGTGGGAAACGTAAAAATACGTGAGCGACGCGATAATCCATCGTAAATCACATTGTGTTTGCGCCCCCGAGGCCACGATCCCTTGTAAACCATCGTGAATTGCGCCACATTCGCGTCCCCGAAGCAACATCCCTTGTAGAATACACAATGTTCGCGTCCCCGTGGCAACGATCTCCTATAAAATTGCAGTATGTTCGCACCTCTGGGGCTACGATCCACCGTAAATTACGCAACGTTTGCGCCTCCGAAGCTACGATCCATCGGAAGTACGCAGCGTTCGCGCCCCCGAAGCCACGACCCCTCGCAAATTACACATTCGCGCCCCCGAGGTCACGATCCCCAGTAAATTACCCCGCATTCGCGCCCCCGAGGTCGCGATCCCTTGAAAATTACCCCCCATTCGCGCCCCAGAGGCCTCGAAACCACGATCCTTAGTAAAACACGCTATAGTATCGCTCCCGAGGCCACGATCTCCCGCACGTTGCACTACATTCGCGCTTCTGGGGCCACGATCCCTTGCAAATTACGCCGCAGTTGCGCCCCCGAGGCCACGATCCTTTCATTACAGAATATTCGCGCCCCCGTGGCCAATAACCCTGACAAATTATGCAAGCGTTGCGTCTCCGAAACAACAAACCCTCGCACATTACATAATAGTCGCGTCCCCGAAACCATTAAACCTTACAAATTACACAATGTTTACGCCTCCAAGGCAACGATCCTTAGTAAATGAATCAAGTGTTGCGTCCCCGAGGCAACAAAACATCGCAAATTACATAACATCAGCGTCCCCGAAGCCAGAATCCCTCGTAACGTATACAATGTTCGCGTTCTCGACGCCACAAACTATCGCGAATTGCAAAATGATTGCGTCCCCGAAGCCAGAATCCTCAGTAAGTACATAGTAGTCGCGTCCCCGAGGCCGGAAACCAATGCAAATGGCGAGTTCTGCGCACCCGAAGCAAATAACCATAGGAAATGATTCAATGTTCGCGTCCACGTGGCCATCACCCCTCGCAAATTACGCCATATTCGCATTGCCAAGGCAAAGAGTGCTCTACGGCGCCTGACGATGGTTCCAAGACGGCCCAAGGGGGCCCCAAGAGGCCCCAACGGCGCTCCAATAGCCTTCCCGAGAGAGCCCCAAGAGGCCACCATGGTCGATTTCGCAAAAGGTTTTTGAAGGAGTTTGAGGTTCTCGCATGTTCGGCTTTCATATGCCCCAAGATGGCTCGAGAAGCTCCCAACACCGCCCCAAGACAGCCCAAGACGCCTCCAAGAGGGCCCCAAGACGGCCCGAGAGGGCTCCAACATGGCCCAGGAAGCGCTCCGAGAAGCCCCCAGGAGGCCCCAAGAGGCCCCAAAAGGCGCCCAAGACACGCCAAAGAGGCCTCCAAGAGGCCCAACAGCTACCCCACGAGGCCCCCACCTCTAAGAGGCCCCCGAGAGGCTCCCCAAGACACCTCAACACATATACAAGAGGCCTCAGACCCACAACCCAGACACGATGGCGGGATGGCCCGAAGGCCACTGGTATCCGCCGCCCCCTGTTTGCTTGCCACAGGGTTGCCCAGCGTGCTAACCCTTTCGATGTTGGTTCTTTTAGAGCAACTCCCTGGGGCTGCGGCCCGTCCCGCCGGCCACCTGGAAAAGCGCACGAAGTGCATAAAAGGTGGTTGCAAGGGATTTCGGCTCCAAACGGCTCCAATGGCCTCCAAGATGGCCTCCAAGTTCGCCCACGATGGTCCAAGATGGCCTCGAAGACGGCCCAAGAGAGTCAAGGATGCCTCCAAGTTCGCACAAGAAACACCTAAGACGGCCCAAGACGGCCCCAGAGGCCTCCAAAAGGCATCCAAGACGACCCAAGAGGTCTCGAAGAGGTCCTCCAGGGTCCGCATGGACGGCCCGAAGAAGTCAGAATCATTGATGTTCAACAGGTGTTTGAAGGATTTGTGCATGTTCTTCGTTTCAGCTCCGACGGCCCAAGACGGCACAAGCGGCCCCAAACATCGACCCAAGAGCGCCCAAGAAGCCTCCAAAATGGCCCCATGACAGCCCAAGAGGCCCCCAAGAGGGCCCCTACAAGGCCCCAAGACGGCCCAAGAGGTCCCCAAGACGCTCAAGATGGTCTCCAAGATGGCCAAGATGGCCTCGAAGATGCCTCCAAGACGCCTAAGATGGCCGTCAAGACGGCTAAGATGGCACGAAGATGCACCCAAGACGGCGCAAGATGGCCTCAAGATATCCCAAGACGGCCCTATAGGCCGGCAAGAGGCCTCCAAGACGGCTCAAGAGGCCTCCAAGACGTCCTCCAGGAAGGCCCGAAAGTGCCAAAGTCAGTAGTGTTTCTATGGTGTTGAAGGATTTGGGCACTTTCTTCGTTTCAGCTCTCCGACGGCCCAAGACGGCCCAAGAGGCCCCAAACATCGACCCAAGAGCGCCCAAGAGGCCTCCAAGATGGCCCCATGACAGCCCAAGAGGCCCCCAAGAGGGCCCCTACAAGGCCCCAAGACGGCCAAAGAGGCCCCCAAGACGCACAAGATGGCCTCCAAGATGGCCAAGAAGGCCTCCAAGACAGCGAAGATGGCCCCAAGATGCACCCAAGACGGCCCCAGATGGCCTGAAGATGTCCTTCGACTGCCAGAGACCTCCAAGACGGGCCAGGACCCCTCCAAGACGCCCGCCAGGAGGCCCGAAAGCTCGGAAACCACCTGGTCCGATAGCTCGCCCGACTCGGTGTTCCCCGAAGGCTTTCGACACCCGCTCGGGGAACGCGTGGCCCGACAGCTTGGCCAAGCTCAAACCCAACGTTCGGCCACGCAGGCGCTTCCAAAAAGGCAGGGGGTGGCGGTGGTTCGCCGTATGCGTCTTCGATCCACCGCCCCCTTGTTGATTCATCACAGGGGTGCCCAGCGTGCTGAATCATTTCGCTGTTGGTTTTAGTTCTTTTCCCAAAAGAACCCCCCCTGGGGCTTCGGCCGATCCCGCCCGCCACCCGGAATTGCGCGTAACAGGTGGCTGCAAAGGATGTTTCGGTTCCAGACGGCTCCAAGATGGCCTCCAAGATGGCCTCAAAGTTCGCCCAAGATGGTCCAAGATGGCCTCGAAGACGGCCCAAGAGAGTCCAGGATGCCTCCAAGTTCGCCCAAGAAACACCTAAGACGGCCCAAGACGGCCCCAGAGGCCTCCAAGACGCCTCCAAGACGGCCCAAGAGGCCTCGAAGAGCAAACGGCCCAGGCCTGCATCTACATCCGTGCTCCAGCCCCTGCTCCGCCTCCTCCTCCTCCTCCTCCTCCTCCTCCACCTCTGCGTTTACACCTCCTCATCACCCTCCTCATCCTCATCCTCCCTCTCCTCTCCTCTCTGCGCAGGCTTCGAGATAGTGGTCAAGCCGATTCGATGCGGATGCATGTCCACCTCCTCCTCCTCCTCCTCCTCCTCCTCCCTCCTCCATCCTCCTGCCTCTCCTCCTCCTCCTCCTCCTCCTCCTCCCTCTTCTTCCTCCTCCCCCCATCTCCGTTACTGACCTCTCTCACCCTCCTCATCCCTCATCCTCCCTCTCCTCTTCCTCTCCTGCGCAGTGCTTCGAGAATAGTGGTCAAGCCGATTCAACGCGGATTGCATGTCCACCTGCCTCTCCTCCTCTCCTCCCCTCCTCCCTCCTCCTCCTCCCGCGCCCCTCCTCCTCTCCTCCTCCTCCTCCTCCTCGCCCCTCTCTAAAATATTAGAATAAATAAATAAGTATAATGTAAATAATGATAACAATAATATAATACTAAAAAAATAATAATAAAATAATAATATCATCATCTGCATCCATCCATCATCATCATCATCATCATCATCATCATCATCACATATCATCATCATCATCATCATCATCATCAGCACAAAAAGAGCAGAAATTATACCAAAAAATAACAAAAAAAGACACAAATCGCGGGTTCCTTTGGGTCTAACACTAACAAAGCTAAAGCAAGCATCATCATCATCATCTCAGCATCAGCATCAGCATCATCATCATCATCAGCAATCAGCATCAATCCCCCCCCCCCCCCCATCATCATCATCTCATCATCATCATCATCATCATCATCATCATCATCATCATCAGCCTCAGCATCAGCATCACATCATCATCCAATCATCATCATCATCACCTCGCTCATCATCATCAATCATCGATCATCATCGTCGTCGTCGTCGTCGGTCCGTCATCATCATCTCATCAATCATCATCATCATCAATCATCACCACAGCATCCTCATCATCGTCATCGGCAAGAGTCGTCATCGTCATCTTCGTCATCATCATCATCATCTATCAATCATCATGGAACACCACCACCCACCACCACCACCCACCCACCACCATCACAATCATCACATCATATCAAACTATCATCATCATCATCATCATCATCATCATCATCAATCATCATCATCATCATCATCAGCATCATCATCAGCATCATAATCATCATCGCCATCATCATCATCATCAGCATCATCATCAACATCACCATCACCATCACCATCACCATCATCATCATCAGCAGCAGCAGCATCAGCATCATCATCACCACCACAAGCATCATCATCATCATCAGTATCATCATCGCCAACGTCATCGTCATCGT